TAGAATGTATGCGACAAGTATCTAACAATGATAGATATTATATTGATTACTCGATACATGTAGAAAATTATCTAATAAGTAACCTCAAATATTCGGTCAATATCGATATTCAATATATGAATACGTCACTCCAATCAAAATATTTGATTTGAATTCGAGATCAATTTGCCAAATGTCCCACGTACACTTATTGTCTTCTATCACCTCTAAAACTATTGATTGTGCATTGCTAAGGCAATGTATCTAGCCTTTTATTTTCATATATGTTGAGCATGTGATAGAAGTAAACAACAAGTGAGATAAGATAGATTTTTCATAGCCCACATACAAAGCAATCCCACACATATCAAATCAAAGCATCAAATTTAGAGACATTCATTCTCTCCATTAACTGAGTGGTCCACTCCCACTGGCTTTCTTCTTCTTTTTTTTTTTTTTTGAACCAAAGATGGTGGTCTTTGTTGAAAAGGTAATGTTGCTTGTGATATGGATCTCAAGAGGTCGAATTATAGAAACAGTTTTTTTAGACATGTAGGTCAGATTTGTAACGATGGTAAGTTCTTATAGGTTCGTTTTACAGTTTTTTTATCCACCAACCTAAATTAATGTTGAGGATTCAAGCCTGATATCAAAATTCTTCAAGTTTTATCTTTCTGACACCCAACTTTTGATATTATGTCTACAAAATGACTACTTTCATATTCAAACTCAAAAACTCATATTGTTAGTCTGACACTTCTACCATTGCACTAACCACCATTAGGCCATAGTTCATAACGTCTAGCATTAACTTTAATCACCTACCCCAAAGTAACTTGAGTTTTGACAATGAAACTATTGGTTCTCTACACGCTATTCTTCTTGTCATATAAAATTATTTTAATCATGCGTCTTTTGAATTTATAACTCTGACATTTTAAAAAAATTAACTCATGACTTTAAATGAACGAAGGAGTTATAATTATAGATTAAAAAGAATAGTTCACTACACGAGATGCCTACTATTCAGATCTGGGGAGGGTCAGGAATATGTAATCTTACTTCTATACGTAGAGAGGTTATTTTCCACGACTTAAACTCTTGATTCCCAAGTTACAATAGATCATTGCTCTAAGGAACAATACTTTTTTTTGGTTCAACGATCAGAAATATTCAGGTCAGTTTATGCGCATCTCGACTAATTCTCTATTCGGTCCGATCAAAGGTAAGTCATCCACATCAAGATTAGGGTATTCATGGAAAATAATTTCTTCATAGTCTGATCCCAAATAGTTATCAAAATTTGAACTAAGACATCTAAATTTACGGCTCGTCCATATTAGCACTTAACCTACCACTTGAAGTACTACCGAATGAATCACAAGATCAATAGGTCTTATACACTTTTGCTAACTATCCAACACATCATTTATGCTTCAAAATAATTTTGGAGGACAAAACATTTCTCCTGCTCTAGGCCCCATCCTGAAATCTTGTGTGCATGCCAAGTGGAGTAACAAGTCATTATAAGCATATGCAAGCCAATCATAAAACAGCTAAGCTTTTTTCCAAATGTTTTTTGTCACCATGTAATAATGAAATCCAGCTAAGGTCCATAAATAAATGCCTATTAAGAGGAGGTCCCATTTTATTTCAAAAAGGCATCTAAAGCTCTCATGGGTTAACATGATCCAATCTATGTGATTATTAATGTAGAAGCTGTCTTTTGCTCTGTAATTACATAACCACCAAAAGTCTTAGCATTATTGTGTCTCAAACTTGTCTGCCTCATCAATTTACATAACCATATTCATTTATGAACACCCACAGGTACACACACACATTGAGACATAAACACACCCAAAGTACCAATTCCTGGGACATTTTCTCAGCCTGTTATGAACAGTTAACTGAAGGGTACTGGAAAACAGGTGATACCCCAACTCATTTCAGGACTAAAAGCCTACAAAAAACATAACATATATAAGTAACACATCTCACACAACATAAGACCAGCAAGCCACAAAAAAAGTAACATTCACAAGCCAGAAATCACACCCAGTGCAATAGAATCTATGGAAATATACTTTGTGTATACGAACATGAGAACATGCACCAGAAGGTGCTATATCTTGCTTGTTTCAAGAAAAGGTGACTGTCAATCAAGGTTAAATTTGAAGTACATAATACACGAGAAAGTCATTAGTAAGTGCAATCAGACATCTACCAACTGCATTTCATCGCTCGTTCATTGGTCTAATGCTGGTGATGTTAAGAACCAATCGAGAGATTTTATCCAAAACCAATGACACAGGGAAAATGCAGTATGAGTGTGAGGGAAAAAACCAATGTCTTCTTTTATTACCATAAAACTTGAAGAGAAAAACATAGTTGTTTAGTTCCCCTAATAAGCTGTGAGAGGGAACAATATACACGTTTATAAAATTTTCATGAAGAATCATACAAGTTGCGCCCACAACGGTCACATGAAATATGGGTTTCATGGGAGACTCTTTCTGGCTTCTCCTTCTGCATCTTTGGTAGATCAAGTTCCAAAACATCATGCAGTGCCTTTGAGCCTTCTTGGATCTCATCCAGACTGAAAACACCATATTACTTTAAAATGTTAGAATGTAATTAGTAGTATTTATCTGCAGATATATTGTGAAAATCCCACAAATATTCCAAAGAAAACAATAAAAAACGTAAAGCCAGTAGAGAGATAGCAAGAAGCCGAAACAAGAAAAAAATACCGCAAGGTGTGTGAAGTAAATAAGAAAACACTTACTAGGTAGTCAATAATCAATTTTATTTCATTGTTTGTAAATGAAAGGGTAATGTTTCGAATTCTGGATCTTATTACACAAAATAAAAGGGGTAGTATGCTTAGCGCAACAAAGGGGGAATTATTCAAGATTCAAAATCTTGGATAATTAAATTGATAAAAGATGAAATGACATGGATGCACCAACAATTAAAATTTGTACATCAACTTGAGCAAGATATTGTAGCTTTAACTACAGATGTTGCAATCAAATGGAGGGATTTGTATCATCATATAAGGCTGTCGGACATCCCTAGGTTTGTGGCAATTGTTGAAGATTTAAATAGTTACGCAGGGCTACACAGTCATCCAGATTATCCATTAATTACAAGACAAGTGCACCAGTTTTCTTCATCAATGAAAGTTATCATGCAATATTGTAAGTCTCAAAAAATTTATATAGATATTCTACAAATCTTGGCACACTTAAACAATGTACATTCAAAGAGAGAACAACAATAGCCATTTATTGCTTGACTCCCCGTTCCCCCAAAAAGCAGCTTTTATTGTTCAGTCTAAGGACTATCTCTTAATATGTTTGTTGTCTACACTCCTGGAAAAAAGGTCAGTATGGAAGTTTGGGGCAATTAGTGGGACTGCAAAACTTTGACTCTGACTGAAGTCAGAGTGCACTACGGGAGAGTGCTGTTCCCAGATTCCATCTTTGACCTAGTGTTAATTGAGACGAGCTACTCAGGCTCGGCTCAAATAAAACTTGGCTCGAGCTCAACTCGTGTTCTAATCAAGACAAGCTCGAACAATTTTTCAGGTTTTTTTATAAAAGCGAGCTTAAAAGGCTCGACTCAACCTCTAAAAGGCTCAACTCAACTTCACGAAGTTCGGCTCGTTTATATGTAAAATAATTGAGCTACCTGGGCTCGACTCAAGTTCTAAATGAGCTGAGATTGAACAACTTTTTAAGCTCGTTTAGAAAAACAAGCTCGTCAGGTCAAGCTCGCAAAGCTTGCCTCAATTAACACCCCTACCTAACAAAGACCTTGCTTTCAAACAAAATATATTCTTTACCACCCTGTTATTTCAGCTTAAACAGAAAAGGGCCAAATTAGCATTTTCCTTTATATTAGACAAACTTCTCAACACCTGGAATATAGACTGCAGAGACACGAGCTGTTCAATTTATATAAATGAATCTATTATTCATGGCACCTAAGTAATTATCAAAGTGGTGACAATAATACTAGATGGTTTGATACAAAATAAGCAGTGTTTATCTTGACAGTAATAAACATAAAGCTGAATGCATTGGGATTCTAGCAAAGATAAGCTTCCTTTCGTAAGATGAGAAGCTGTATAAGTAATTCATAGTTAATGCAACAGCAGTAATATGAATAGAAATGTAAGGAACAATAAAAATTTGAAGGCATTGAGACTTTAATGGAGACTATTCAGTTATTTTCAGGGATGGAAGAATTTTTTCAGAAGGGAAGATAGAAGACGCCGGAGGGATACTCGTAAAGAATCGTGTGACCAACTATTATGCATGCCATAGAAAATATTACAAGACACTATAACAATAGCCAAACTTCATGGAACAAAATTTTAGGCATCCACAACATCTCTATCTGTTGCTAAATATCATCTCTGTAATAGGAGCAAAGTCCAAAAGAGAATACTAATATGCAGAAATGTCATTGAAGAAAACCATAGCGTAACAACTGAATATATCCAGGAGATGCCGGAGATAGCACAGAGGATAAATATGGGAATTGACTAAGTTACCATATGAAACCAGACAAAAGCTAAAATAGTGATGCCCAAAGATCTGCCAAAACATAAAAAATACAAAAATAAACGAAACTGACACTTCCAACATGACAAAATGGCCAGTCAAAAATAACAAGAGGTATGACTGCAACCAGACTGAAGGAAAAGAAGGGTTCTTGTGGTCAATACCAAACAATTATACCAGGGTTTTGTCGATTTAAGTTAGCAGTACATCTCTACTATAGAAATGCCAAATTGACTGACAGTAAGGATTGAGGCAAGGGCCAAAAGTTTAACTGACATCTCGTTGCGGGTATCACCAAAATAACAATGATGATCCTAAAGAAAGACTTCACATTCACACTATAGAAACACTCATCAAGCATGTTTCCATACCTCATGCAAAGTGGAGGAGTTAATCGGACAATAGAATCATGAGTTGGCTTAGCTAGGATTCCTCTCTCTTTCAACTTCAGACATATATCATAAGCAGTAACAGGGGCATGGCCTTGCTATTAAACTCCACAGCGTTGAATAAGCCTTTTCCTCGAACTTCTTCTATGAATTGAGGAAATTTCTGCTGAACCTTCATGAGCTGATGCCTAAGCTCCTGTCCCATTTGAGCAGATCTACAAGAGATTGAGTGGGTTACAACAGGGCTTGTGTTACACTGAGAAACAGAGGAAAGTATACACATTATTGGAACTCATTTTTATACAGGGAACTGTTGACTTAAACACTGTGCCACTGGACTAAAATGATTCAGACTGATCATATGATTAGCTCTCAAAATTTCAGTCAAGTAGAAATGCAAGTACACAAGGAAAAGTAAGCTAGAGTTTCCAAGCTCTGTTATTTGATAAATTGCACCAAGTCTATACGAAATGATATGAACTAATGAAGGACTCAAGTCCATGATAAAGAGCCACAGATCCATAAAATAGAATATCCCAAAAAAGGTAAAGACCAAATGCCATCTAATACTGATCCTCTAACCTATTGCTTTCAATAATTAAAAAAAAATACTTTAATTATATTTTAGCATTCATATCTTGATACCATGGATCTGATTCTGTTTTTCAAAGAATCAGTCTTGAATTTGATGCTGAACAATCACAATGACCAGGGATTATTCCAAACAGATTCTATATGGTGGTGATCTATATCTCTAACTCTCAACATCACAAAAAAAAAAAATACTCCAACTCATTACCAGCATTTTAGATATGTTTCCTGCTAACTAAGAGAAGAGGTGCAATATGTTTAACAATTTAAGATAAAAAATTTATCTGAATTCAATTCTTTACAACTTCCCTTTCTTGATGGCTACTGTAGCATGCAAGATGCAACTCAGTAGTATATCATTGAGCAACAAGTTTCATACCTCTCAGCAAGTTTCTCATCCCTGATAACCTCTAATGATGCAATGGCAACTGCACTGGCCAACGGATTCCCACCAAAGGTGCTGAAAATAATGAGTAGAAAGCATGTTAAACACAGTGAAGTAGAGCCGGATAGCAGTACCAAAAACTGATCGAAAGAGAAAAGAACATACATGCAAGAAAGAAGGAACTAACAATTATAAAGGAATCCTACACTTAAAACTCAGTAACATTTTTTGCATTGCACCTAATGGGTCAGATTCAACAACATCAATCCCGAAGTTTACTTTTTTCGGAAGGTAAACGATCCCGAAGCTTACTTACATCTATTTAAGGGACTCATTCTTGCTGGGAGGAACTGCCTAAAGTAAAAATTAAAAAAACCCTACTCATTCCAGTCAACTGAACAGAGATACATAACAACTCAAAAATTGATGACAAGGAGTTTCCTACTCTTAAAACTCAGTAACATTTTTTGCATTGCACCTAATGGGTCAGATTCAACAACATCAATCCCGAAGTTTACTTTTTTCGGAAGGTAAACGATCCCGAAGCTTACTTACATCTATTTAAGGGACTCATTCTTGCTGGGAGGAACTGCCTAAAGTAAAAATTAAAAAAACCCTACTCATTCCAGTCAACTGAACAGAGATACATAACAACTCAAAAATTGATGACAAGGAGTTTCCAGTTCTGACCTTTAAATTGACTTAAAGAATGAATCAATGAAAAGATGTAACACTCTAGCTTTAGCCCAGTAGAATGCATCACTTTTCTAAAAAACCCGAAAAGAAAATATGCAACTGATATTCATTAACTGGTTCTTTCATTCGTCATATTCTTTTAATTTATTTCCCACATATTAGGATTCTGTAATTTTACCAAGCCACAACTGGCTCATTTAGACATGACACCATGCAAACACTATTGACCTAATGAATCCAAAACCCTTCAAGACCTGGACCCACCACAATCCACTTTGGCTAACCCTATGCTTTTTTGGTTACACATTTAAAACATCATATCAATTCCAATCATGGACATGATTATGCCATAAACTCGAATCCATTTACATAGTGAAGGGGAATTCAATGGGAGTTGCATGTCTTGGCACCTTTGCCTAAACTTGTTAAAATGATTGATATTTCTTATAAGCAGCAATACAAGGTACATTGATAAAACGATAGTGCCTTTGGAAAATACGGCTATGATAACCTTCCATGCTCCCCTGGTTGGATGCAAAGCATAACATCTTTATCAGCAAGAACTGCACTAACTGGTATCACACCACCCCCTAATGCTTTTCCCAATATCTGAAAAGGCAGCCATAAAAGAAGTAAAGTACTGACATATATAGGCGATAGCAATAATATAATTATCCCAAGTTTCATGTATAGGTTTCAAATTTTATTAGAATATCATACCAATAATCAGTCGAGAAGTACATATTTGAATAAGTGGAGGGCCTTACAACAACATCAGGGTGGACTTCTTCCCAATCACAGGCGAGCATTCTTCCCGACCGTGCCATGCCACTTTGTATTTCATCAGCGATCATCAAAACATTATATTTTGAACAAAGATCTCTAACGGCTTTTAAGTAACCATCTGGAGGAATTATAACCTAGCAACATATATAATCTCATCAACAAAAGAAGGTGAAAAAATTGAGGGGGGTAAACGAACTGCCAAAAGGGGGAAAAAACATCCCTCCCTCGCCCCTGAATTCCCTTAAAGGCCTTGAAGCTCCTGACATAACCATGAATATATGTGAGAGTCAATCTGTTTGTGCCATGAACACCTGCGCTTTATATACAATACAACATACCAGAAAATGCCAACCTCATAATGATTATTGAATTCATTAACAAATTTCATAAAAAGAAACTGTTGGGCTAGTTGGACTCCCAATTGAGAAACCCCAACATGTCCAAATTATTCAGATGAAATCCAAAACATACATACCCCAGCCTCGCCTTGAATGGGTTCAAATAAAAAACCAGCTATTCGATCTCCATTTTCTGAACACCACCACAAAACAAATCATGAGTCTTCTATAGATATATTCCAATGTGTAGGTCTTGCAACATTAATGGTTTAAGTGGATCATAATTTTATGCAAACAAATTCTCTAAGATTCCTACGATTGAAGTCTCTTAGATGTAGTATAGGCACAATAAATAAAAGAAATTTCCCCCTCTATAAGGAGAACCCAATATTTCACAAACCTCTAAATGTTTTCTCAAGGGCAGCTTCATCACCAAAATCAACTTTAAGATGGCCAGGCAACAGTGGCCAGAAACCACGAGTAGCCTCATTGTCACAGCTCATAGAAATAGCAGCTAATGTCCGACCATGGAAGCAGCCACAACATGAGACAATGATAGCCTGCACATGTAGTCAATGAATTAGAGCCAAAATAACTGCAGACTGCAATCTAAATAAACAACACTGAAGACTGACTCACTGACCTTAACAGGGATTATAGAGAAAGTTACAAAAAAACGTAAAAATTTAGCCAGCATACATCAGGATTTATTAGCTCACATTTGAAACAGAATGGAGGTGGCAAAGAGCGAAGACAGGTGTGGTATATAAAACTTAGCTTTTATTCTTTTGCTGGCTTACACCATATGAATTTTCTTAGCTATTGCCTAGTGCAGTAATAAAAGTTTTTGTCGGAGAGATTGTGCATTCGATTTGACAACAGCCACTATGTGCAAAACATGCAAAAGTTAGGTTGGAACCACTCCACCCCCAGCACCCTTGACTAATGTAGTCCAAACCTAGGATCAAATTTTTGTTTTAGTGCACAGTTTCGGTTAGCTCGAAACGAAAACAGTTCAAAAATGTTTTGGAAACAAAATGGAAATAAAGAAACAAATTTGAATTCCAATCCCAAAACATTTTGAAACAAACCTAAACATTCCGAAACACACGAATTTCGATTTTTCATCATTTATTTGACTCAGTTTCCACCAAAACCAAAACTTTTTGAAACGGAATTTTGATCCTGGGTCCAAACAGAGTAATGACCATTTATGACCCTTTACACAATTTGAATGGTCAGACAGAAGTGACAAAAGAAAGGATATGCTAAGAAACTAATGAACTTGTATAGTCTGCATGTAGCATCAGCTAAGGATGAAACAAACAGATTAGCTAGAAACGTTTGACAATGAGCAACAATAACTGATTCTATCACCAGTGACAAGAAGAGATTGGGTCTAACTTAAAAAGGCGTTCAGAGACAAATATGAAGGCCAACAAGGGCATCGATTGAGAACATAAAAAGAGACACAATGCTTATGAGTGAACCTACAATATATTCTACTTAGAACTAAAATGAGGAGCCTTTCAGTACATTCAGATCTCTTAAATCTTGATAAGGAAAACAAGTACAGTAATATGGAGAAGTTAATTCTCGATGTACTACTGGAATGTAGGTTGACCAATTAGAGCTCTTTTATCTTTTCCTCAAAATTAGGCCTCTCCAAAAACTGTTAGCAGAGCAAATTGTACCAAAAACAAATTCAAGCATTATATTGCTAATTTGACCTTTTACTCTTCCTATATCTAAGGCAATGAAATTCATATTCTAACATAATCATCTTCATTAAGCCAAGGGATTTGCCTTTCCTTGCGGGAAGACCAATAGCCTCATCTTTAGCTATTGATTTTTTCATATTCAATATCATTTGTTTGGTAACAAAATCTGAGAATTCTCATGTTTGTGCAGTTGAAAATGTAAGTTCCTACCTTAATTTTTGACATTTTTGGTAAATGACGAAAATGCAACGACAACCAAGCAAGTTAAGAAGTTAGCAATTGACCTGTTCACAACTGAAACTTGATCATTTCCTATAAAGGTACCCTAAACCAATTACCCAAGATGCCGGGCGATAAACTATAAGATATAAAAATATCAAAATAAACTTATTTGAGTGTGAGTATGCATGTCTGTGTGTGTATGTTGTGACAAATTAATTGGCTTAAGAGTGGAATTTAAAGAGATTGGCTACCTTAGCCATCATTCGTTGCTTTGCCAACAGAAATCATCTTTAAAAGATTCTCAAAGCTAAGTTGATTTCGGCCCATCTCAAATCCTTATTTCTAGTGCGGACTTGTTGAAAATTGGTAATTGTTGACCTCCTTCCCCACCAAAAAAAAAAAACACCCCTGGTGCAAATAAACTTTTCTTTCAATCCTACATTTGTGCCAAAACTTCACCAGTAACTAAAGCAACGTTGAAAAAGACAAGGATATCATTTGAAAAACAAATTTTGATTAAACATCAGATAAATTTCATTAATTGTAGGCATGATCCTATAGCTAAAGTTCTAAACACACATTTTTACCTCATCTTTAGGAATTTTTTTCTTTTGATAACCCCATTTCCTCGCCAACTTTAAAGCACTTTCTACACCTTCAGCACCGGTATTCATTGGAAGCACCATATCATAACCAAACAAGCTGGTTAAATGCTCTGCAAATACTGGAAATCTATCATTATAGAAGGCTCTAGATGTGAGAGTGAGCCTTTCAGCCTGTTCTACTAATGCTTTCATGACTTTTGGATGACAATGCCCCTGCAGTAAAGATCTTTTGAAGTTAAAAGCTGTGATGCAGTTTCATTCAATGCATGAAATTTAAGAGCACTACCGGCCAATAAAATTGTTTAATAATGGACTTTGATAATCCATTCACTGCATTTGCAGTCTACTCAGGTTTTGGCATAAAAAACTGTGCGCTGAAACATGAGCAAATCAATCATAAAGCATGATTTTATCCTCATCATTCATCACAACGGAAGAAAAATCTTTTCAAAAGGTAAATTCTCAAGCATACTACGCTGCAGGCCCAGGAAAAAAAAATTGCCAACTCCTACATTGCTGACAAGGTATCATAACAGAAAAGCGGTGATTAAAGAAAAACACGGCCCCGCAATATCACCTGATTGACAGCGGAGTAAGCTGAGAGGAAGTCGAGATATTTGTTGCCTTCTGGGTCCCAAATAGTTGATCCCTTGGCTTGAGAAAATACAACTGGAATTGGGTGGTAACTGTAATTCAACCAGAAAATTATCCTTCAATACATTCTAGTATCATCTAAGTGACTGGGCTCGCATTTTAATTAGGCCTAACATTCAGCTTTAAGAATGTAATTTTCATAAAGCTATGCTACATGAATTTTTAATGATTTCAGTACAAACGGTGTGGAACACCCTCCGACAAGCTATGGTACCACGATTTATTCGGGGCAGCTGTAAAGCAGTCCTTAAAGGCAGATTACATCCAATTTTATGACTAAAAATTTTAGTGATGAAATCAGGTTTTATGGGTGATAAAAGGATGAGAGTTTGACAATGATAGATCGAGGAAAGGGAAAGATTAATGGCTGCTCAGGATGCAGTGAGCAATCCCCATCAAAGCAAACATTAGACATTCTGAGCTCTAGTGATGTGCTATAGTCGAATAAAAGACGGAATTTTCTTAGGCTAGTCAAAAGGGTTCTAGGAGAAAAAAAAAATCAAGGAACATCAGATCGGACCACTGGTTTAAAGGTCCAAAAAGTCAAGCAAGAAGAAGAGAAAAAGAAAAAATCTGGTTCATTACAAATAATTCCCATAGACATCATATTTGGCTTTAGGTTTGCTTGTATTACACAATATAACATGTCCTCCTTTCAATTGAAGACATTATTCGGCTGTATATAGACTTTTAGTACTCTTAAATGTAATAATTTCCACTCTATGAATCAAAACTAATGAACTTTGGCTAACAAACCTCATTTTGACTAACATTTTCATACATAAAAGCATATGACGGGTAATAAATCATGACCAATATTATTCTTACATTTGCATCTCAACTCTGTACTTTCACTCTCCTGCAGCGCATATATTTTGCATCCATAGAAAAAAAAAAAGGACAAGCAGAAACCCTACTCCAGACTAATGTTGGCCCATTTCAGGATTCTTTGTCACCAAGTGAACTTAAGATGCACTTTTTGAGTTCAAAACAGTTGATCAGCGAAACTAGCCAAAGCAAGAAGTTATGTGCCTTGCTAAGGGATGTTCAATGGCCAGAACTGTAGATCAGCACGAATCAGTTGCATTTTGATAACTAAAGTTTCTCTAGTATAGAAAAAAGCCAAGCCATACAAACAAGTAAAAGTATCCAAGTCCTAATCAGGTGTTACAGGAATTTTTGGTAATCACTATTGTTTGCTCCTTTTAGTTTACGAATCCTAAATAGTTAAGGTGTTCCGTTAATTAAAGACTGTTTGAACTGACAAGCATGGTTCCCTGTTCTGAAAGAAATTAGCTGTTTTTTTCCAATATCTACATTAAATTTTTAATTTTCTTTTCTGGCTGACCATGGTTTTTGAATCTTGATAATCATTTTACAATTTTACAATTCAATTTGTCAACATCATAATTCTCTACCTAAAAAACCCTTAATCTTAATTCCACATTGCTCACAGGTGATATTTACAACTTTGAGGGGCCTCAAATTTAGTACTTCCACATCAGAATGCTAAATTGAAGTTTAGTTTCCTGAGATTCTAAAAAGAAAAAAAGTTTCCCAGCCTGGTCACTACTAAGTTCATACATCTGTGGAACTTATAGCTTACCCTCACACTCAAACTCCCTTAAGCCTTCAAAGAACAATTGCAAAATGAGCTGCTGTAATGTCAGGATATTATCCTGAACTTCAGACTGTGTTTTGATTAAGATACAGTGCCCTCGTATCTTGACGTAAGGGTAGCAATGGTGTCAGAACGGCCACAATTGTGTGCTTAACAGATTAACATCCATTCTTTATCTGAGTGTTTTCCTGAGGGTGGCATATGTGATTGATGTGACCAAAGCACATTGTACTTACAAGTAACAACAGTATTGTATGAATCTAGACTGCAGATATTTGATTAACCCCGCAAAAGAACTAAACTCCGAGTTCCCTGAAGATAACAGCAATAAACCAAACTGCATAAAAATGTTGTGTGAAAAAAAAATCTAACGTAGCAAGCTGGCAGTGTATCTCTCATAGAAAAGCCTACATGGCAATAACCTTTCCAGTTATTTTATTTGGCACTATCTCAATGATCCGCTAGCTGCCTACTGCCACGATACAACAAGAACATGATCAGTCAATCCAATAACAAGAACCAACCAGTGTCCCCAAAATTTGATCCAGATGGAAATAGTAGCTTTTATATCATTAATTATTCCAGAATTCTCCAATTGGTATATTCAGTGTACCAAAAGCAAATTATGACATCATCTGATTTCTTAACGACCAATCAGAGCAAACTGCAATTCCAGATTCAAGATTCTAACAAAAATTGATCGAATTTTAAAAAAATTTGTCCATCAGGAACATATATAGTACAATCTACGGTTTGATGCTTTTGACTGGTTCAATTTCATATCTATTCAATTTAAGTGCGAGATGACGACGCATTTACCATGGCTGTCAAAGGCAAGCCTAGGCCTAAATTGATGTGTCAGAAAATTAAAACCGTTTCATCTTTCTCCTCTCTCCAATCTTTGAATAGTTTGTGCTGCACATATAAATCATATTTATGCTTAATACTGTTTCAAATGTATGAAAATTCGCTCCAGTAGCACCTTCGGGTGCATCCAATTGATGCAATATTTTTCAAGTGAAACATATTAAACCCAAAAACAGCTATGGATTGCAAAGACCTATTTTATTGAATTGCTGTGAGATATGATACAAGTATGATTAAAATATCTGAGCAAACAAGGATATAAGTAAAAAAATCATTCAATCAGACCATATCCACAAAGAAAAGAACAATTATGAATACATTATATTCCATTAACAAGCCCAAGTCATACCCATACACATACCCTTTCATAAATAGCACACATAAGCACACGATCATGGAAAATTATACAGCAGACCAAACAAAACCCAAAAGCCAAAACGTATGAATTCGATGTATAACGTAGCCAATATACAAAACCCAGAAACCAAAGCATGGAAAAGATATTACACACACACACAAATATATATATATATATATGTACAGAGAGAGAGAGAGAGGGAGAGAGTATACTTGTGGGCACTGCATTCATATTCCAAGTTGATGAGGTGCTGAGAAGAGGAAGGCATGCTGCCTTCAGGGAGAGCACCAAAACTCCTAACACCTGACTTACAAAACCTGTTCAGGAAAAGCTGCAAATTTCTCTTGGTTGCCATGGGTGATGACTAGCTCGATCAAACAATCAACTGTTGCTGAAGAAATGTTAATTACAGATTTGGGAGTGATAGTTCAGATACCCCTCTTCCCCAAACTCCTCTCTTTTTAAGCAAACTCTCTCTCTCTCTCTCTCTCTCTCTCCACCATTTCCCAACTGATTATGATACTTGCTGTTATATCGTCAATGGGAAGTGTGTCATGCACTTCCCAAAGCATATCTATGCCTCATTATCAAAAGGAAAATGCCCCTCAGAACCTGCGTAATTACAAGAATGGTTCATGCGAAACTGATTGAAGAAAAAAGAAAAAAAAAACAGAAAAATTCTATTTTGATCAATGTATTTTTTTTTTTACTTTAAAAATGATTAAATATACGTATGAATGAAATATACTTAAAAACCTTGAATTATTGAGAAAACTTAGAAAAATCAGGTCCAAGTGAATTTATTACGCGGAAAGTACGTTATGACCCGTGGCCGCCTGCCTGGTGGGGGTGGCTCCTCCGTTGGGGGTAAACCAGAAATCTGACTCTATGTCCAACTACGATAGTACCATATTTTTTATTTTTCACCAACCAATCAAAATAACCACGTGTAAATTTTTATTTTATTACCATAATCACTTAGTGATTACATATATAATATCTTCTCCTGCAAATACAAATACTGTTTTTATTAATAATAATGTATTTAATGTCCCCCACTACGATAACTCATTTATTTACTAAACTATGATTTTCATAATACAAATATTTCATCGTTTACTAAAAAAAAATAATCACTGAGTGAGAAATTAAAATATTTTGGTATATACCATTTAGTAATTTAAATATAATTATAATCAAGAGTCCTAAATAACAAGTGAAGGTATAATTTACAAGATACAAATTGTTATACATCCCACAAACCCAGACCCAGACCCAGACCCAGACCCATCTCCAACATTCTGTTTTTGGGACTCAATCCTTAACTACAAGGATGATCCTCTTTTTACTTTAAAAACCTCCTCATCCCATATTTGGATCAAGTATTAAAAAATAATGTGCCCCACATTTATTCCATCTAATTCTTTATTTGAATAGAGTATTGACCGATGGTATAAATATTAAATTACTAAAAAATCCTCAAGACAATTATATCTTAAAAATTCTTAAGGATAAAAATATCTTTTATCCAAACATACTTAAACTGAACTATTTAAACCTAATAAATAGGCGGGTTTATTTAAGAGATTGTATGTAGGTGTAAAAATACTATTCATCCAGGGGCAGGAGTATTTTTAGATGATTAATACCCGGCCTAAAGTGTATATCCAAATAAGGAAGTAAATGAGATAAGGTGAATCTAAACATTATTTTGTCCAAAATCTTGATTATTACTTTAAAAAATATCGATCTATTATTTAAAATTTGCTGATGCGATGGAGATCCGAAATTTCCTATTAAATCCAACAAAAACCTGCTATGAAAAGGATGCTTATCGATAAGACTAAGAAAAAAATGCACTAGTGGACAGATAAAAGCACAAGCACTGGTTGAGTACACGTCTGAATCCAATAGATGGTGACGAATACAGTAATGCGGGCGGGAAAGACTAGGGGATCGAAAATACAAAAAATTATAATTATTTTTTAAAATTAAATTATAATTTTTAAAATTTAAATTACAACTCGTAAGATAATAATTACAATTCATTCATGTAATTAATGATTATTCATAATATTTTATGATCGATTATAATGTTTTATCAATTGATTATAACTTTAACTTCAAAAGTACTAACCTTCAATATGATACCAATTTTTTTTTTTTTTTTTGTTGTCGATACTGTAGAATTACCCATAATAGGTCGGTGATATGATTAATGTGTATGTCGAGAAAATATTTAATTCAACAGTTATACTATATCAGCACCGTCATCTAATATAACTGACTAATTATGAATAATTAAATTAATTATGTAAGACTAATGAATTCCGCCAAATTATATAATTACCGATACATTTCACGTTCAAAACTATAATATAAGATTAGTGAGGTTCACATATTACTTATTTATTTATTATTAATTAATTTTAATTATACTATATGATGATGATGATGGTGACATGGTGTAATTTAATAGTGTTTGCCACAGTAAGCATAGCATTATACCACCCACTTGCGCTGATTACCAGAATTTGGCCGTATTCCACCGTCAGGGTGGCCTTTGGACTGGAGTGATTCGTCCAAAATATACGCGCAGCCACACATAGACATTACACATTCTTTGGACTGGAGTGTGTATTTCATTCAAATCTCTTTTTTAGTTTAGTTAAAATTAGATTCTCTATGTTAAAAAATTAGGATATTCATAAGAGATAAATCTCTTATGATCTTACCAAACATTACCGAGAATTAAATTTAAAACGTCTAAATTTACAGCTCCCTCTTGTTCCCACTTAAATTACCCTTTATAATCAACGCTACATATTCGTTATCAAAAAATACTAAATACATATTATCGTTGAATTAGTGAGTCCAACTAAAAAAATTAATGAAATCCACAAATTCAAATGATGATGAGTTGTGTAGTATTATTACTCATTCCTTATCTAATTGGACTTTAGATTATGCTTAATTTTTTTTTTTTTTTTTTGTGAGGGTAAAACAGATTTGAATATTTTTTGACACTATAGTGATCACTAATTTAGCCCTAATTTTCAGACTATAATTAAATTTTTTTTTATCTCAAATGCTATGTCTCATCAACATCTATAATTGTGTCAAGTAATAAACTTTTAATAAAAAAATTTAAGATATTAATAAATTAATTTTTTAAATTCCAATAACATTCCTCTAGAAATTAGTACTTCTTATTTTTATGACAATAAAATTATCACATTGATTGATGAGCAAGAAAAAAAAAAATTAAGATGATGGTAACACACGTGATACAATCAACTACCTTTGAAATACCATATGGACTAATTGAATCCCATTATTTCAATAACCACCCATAACCATAACATCCAATAACTTTTTAAGTTAAAATAATGAGATCCATTTATCCTACATAGTATTTTATTATTAAATAATGATATCACGTGTCAATAATAATATAATATCACTGTTACACTGAATATTTTAAGTTCATCTCTATGAGAAAATATTTAATATAAAAGTGTACAACAATAACATTGTCATATGATATCATAATTCAATAATATATTAATAAATAAATCTTACACAACTAAATAATTACCACTACATGTAATATAACAACTACCAGAGCTCTCTCTCTCTCTCTCTCTCTCTCTCTCTCTCTCTCTCTCTCTCTCTCCATGTAGATAACAACTACACTAGAAAGGAAGTCGGGTTCACTTTATCCACTTGATATTTTATTATTGAATGATAATACCACGTAACAATATTAATGTAATATCAGTATTACATTGAATATTTACTCCAACCCTACACAATAAATTTCAAATACAAAAAAATCACCCTCTCCCCCATATATCACTGAATTCAGACCCCAAAAAAAAAAAAAAAAGAACCTACCATATATTCCAAATCCTCTCTTAACATATTTTACATCAATTTTTCTCATTGATAAATATCCATCATAATTAGGGGCAAAACTCACACTCACTATACAAATATCATTATAAAAACAATACAAATTTCATTTTATAGACAAAATACTAGGTTTGATTTGCCATTATTCAGCATGGAAATGGAATGTCCATACCTAAATAACTCTCATTTCAGCATTTAGTTTGTAGTTTTTTGTAAATTCATCCCCACAAATTCAAGACTTGGCCTTCCCAAATATGCAATGGTATTACATATTGCCAATCACCACCACCACTCACTGCCACCATCTCCTCCATTACCTCCCAATTCCCGGGTCTCAGATCTCAATTCCAAGGTACTAGGGTTGAAGGTCCAAGCCCCAAGTACAGATCCTGGGGGTCCCAAATGCCAATCCAAGCTTAAGAGTCAAAATCTGGGATCCCAAAATTCAGGTCCCGCTGATGCGAATCTTGGTGCAGTTCTTATACGTCAGGTCTCCCTCTCTCTCTCTCTCTTTTTTCTGGTTTAGAGCATTACAATCAATTATTATTTTATCAGCAACAGTACTTTGAATAAAATTTCAATTATATTCCAACACTTGATCCTAGATCTTACAGTACCCATAAAAACATCCCAGATCTTTCCAAATATAGCATGGTAATCTATATTCCGTAAACTAACAAGTTCATTTCATTCCCACTAAAAAGCATCATCGGGTGCAGAAGGGGATGCAAAGTAGGTTCACCAGCTTTAGCAAGCAAGCTTCAACACTTCCAACGTCATTTAAAGCCAAGAAGCAGCAGAAACAACATATAACCACCAGCTAAAAGAGAGAGCGCACAACCAGATAAAATACCAACTACTGCATATATTTATTTACCCTTCTAGATAAACACATGCATCTAAACACGGAGAACCCAAAGGGACACAGTAATTGAGGACTTCTCTTTTGATATGGTCACCTTACACTACTCCATAACCTCAACATATGACTTCACGACTACTGAGTCCGCAATGACATTGTCATCACCTAGTAGAGCATAATCAAAGAACTTTCCTCCCAAGGCATTGCCAGCCAACCAGCAGCTTCGATAATATCACAATAATTGGACCAAACAATTTCTAGTACTCGATGAGGGCACAAATTTAGAACATTAAACATACATGCGATAGTCATATGTTCATACACTACATTCCCGCGCGGCCAAAAAAGCAGCTACCTAATCTATGTATGCTCAAATACAAAATCATAAAACAGTCTACAAGCCTGAGAGAAGCCTCCTGAGTTCCACAATATATATACACCACTCAACCAAATTGTACTTCATCAAAACAAACTGTAAGCCAGACAAACCACCAACCTAGATATCCAATTTTACAAAGCTTCATGAGAACAGAAGCATCGGTATATCCATCTTCCTAAAAACAATTATGGATTACGTACTCCTGCCATTGCCGTATTGATACTGCTAAATCAAGAATCATTTAGAACCCACCTCAACAAGCAGCACAACTGGTACCCACCCCGCGGATAATCTCAAAATTCCTTCTAAACCTTGAAGTAACCACCATGGAAAATAACACACTCACTTTAGCCCCCACCCTTCACGATGAACTCGCCCCATATATGCAACAAGAGAAAACTGAGAGCGCAGTGGAAGTTAAAAGCACTATTTTGAAGGGAGGTAAGGTAGGCTTTGATGCGTAAGCATGACCCTGGAATCTTTTATGATCTAGTGGATTCAAACCTGTGTACTAGAATTTTCCTGGAAGAACAAAGAAATAACCTTTTCCTTTAAAATTTCTTAAGCAATACCCACCCGATAAATTGGAACACTAGGCTATACTAATGAGGCAGAGGATTTCTGATATAACCCAACGACAATGGTGTGAGGTACTGTAAGTTCAGATCACCTTGCGATGATGTTCAGAGGAAAAACAAAGAGGAAAGGTAACGGGCAAGAAAAGCTCGCGTCAAATTCTATTGCTTGCATGGGGACAACAGAAAAATACAAATCAGTCATCGAGATAAAAAGAACACAGCAGAAAATCCTTCAGGGAAAAATTTGTATTCATAGAAACAGAAGCCACACATGGGTCAACCACAGACACTAGCCCCTACCCAACCCCCAAAACAGAACAAAATGGAAGAAAAAGAAAACATGGGAAACAGTCAATCGATGGTCTGTAATAGTCGCACAAAAGAAGAGACTGCTTTTTGAGATATACTTGTGTATCTTCTTTAAGCATATGGCAGGAATTATGGAAATATTGACAAGCAAACAACTCCCAAGAAAGCCAAAAATAGATGCACAGAGGCCCCGAGAGTACAAATGTCAATAATTGATGATATTGTAGGGAATTTGCAGAAAGTTATTCGTTAAGCAACAAAACTGGTAAGAGTTACTTGCAGACAAATAATATGAAGAATATCAATAAAACATATACGTGTTCTTGAGAACATGAAATTCTCGAGGATATATTCAAAATATCATGGATGCTTTATTCCATGAAGAAAATTAGGAGGAATAGCAATTCACAAACATTTAGAATAAGGTATTTTTTTTTCTCTCTAACGACTCCCAAGTCATATGAGCCAGCGTGCAATAAAACCCAAATAAAATGGGATATTAAAGAACTGGTAGCTCGAAAAAGAATAAGGGGGACAAATATTCGTTTATTTAAATAACATTTTATTGGGCATCACAGAGCTAGGCTGAATAGGATAATAGTGGTTAAATCAACTCATGTTGCTAAACCACACAATATTCAACCATCATGGACACATGAAGTCCAATACAATTCTCCTTAAGAGTACGAAAGCCACTCAGAAGTTGATACGGCAGTAACAAGTAACTGAAGAGGATAATAGTGGTTTAATGCAACTCATGTTGCTAAATCACTCATTATTCAATTGTGATTGACAGTTGGAGTCCCAAAAAAATTGTACCTTAAGCATACAAAAGCCACTCACAAGTTGACACAACAGAAACAAGTAAACTTTTTTCATTGTATCAAGGGCCAGCTTAGAGTAGAAAAAATAAAAAGGATTAATAGATTAGGTTCTGAGAAGGCCATAATATAAAACATGCTGACGGATTTTCAGATGAAAGACATGGAATCTCATAAGAGGCACAAGATTAGATAAAATATAGTGAACAAGGAATTCCACAGAAGCAGATGAATCTGTCTATAATTATGGGAACCTGCAACTTTCATGACAAAACTATTGTGTTTGGTTAGTGAAATAGCCAAGCAACAGATGAAGAGCATGGAATCGCATAAGAGGCACAAGATTAGATCTAACATAACGAACAGGGAATTCCTCAGAAGCCGCGGAATCTGTCTATAACTATGGGAACCTGCAATTTTCATGACAAAACTGTAGTGTTTGATTTGTGAAATAGCAAAGCAATAGATTAGAAAGCAAATTAAGGGTAACAATTCAATGCCTCAAGCATATGTAGCATATCAACTATCAGAAGATGAAGTTCGTAACTCTAATTTGTAAATATCCACCAAGGCAGGAAAGTATCAAGGAGAGAAAATACCAAACCGCATTGAAGCATGCATCATTGATTGAGAAGAATCAGAAGATCCTTCTGAAGAAGCTGAGATCAGGAGGAGTGAATGGCAAAAACACTAAAAAAATCCGCATTATGAGTTTGACAATTACGATCAGCAGAGTATTCTGGCAAGAACATCAAATGTATAGAATTTAGCAACCTTGGAAATAAGATGGAATCCACCACTAACCAGGGATAAGAACTGATTAAAACACTAGATAGGAAAGAAAAGATCCTATTAAGTTCTAAGACAACCGCAGATGAGTAGAGCCTCCTATTAAGCAACATAAGGCTAAACCTATATCCCCAAAATAGAGCCATGATTAAATCTTCCTGCACACAGAAGAACCGAGAGTCCAATAGAAGAAACCTAAGGAACACATATCTCCGCAACCAAAACCTAGATGAACTACAAAGACGAAACCTTGAAGAAGGCCCCAAGATTTAACACAAAGTTCACCTTCACATAAGACGCAGAATCTTCATAAGTCAAGTGGCCATTATAAATGCCTGAATCAAGTTTTCAGCTGAACGCTTTTGCTCAGGTGTTCCAGATATTAGAGCCACACGATCACCTCGGGAAGATTTGGAGTCAGATATGTCCACGGCAGCTCCAGATATCTGGAAGACAAGCAAGGATGAGAGAGAATATCATTTGATGAAGTGGAGTTCAAGATAGTTTGACAAGATATACCCTCACGTTTCCCAAAGCCAACTAGCATACACAAAAGGAGGAGGAAGAGAAGAATAAATAAAAGTGAATGATTCAAAAAGGTAAGACTCGCCTTGCGGATATTCTCGATATTCGCACCACCTTTACCCATAACTTTACCAACTGCATTTGCAGGGACAATCATCTCTAGGGTTGAGGGTGGAGGCAACCTATTCACAACAGGTGTTATGTAAGACCACAGATTTGCAGAAGCAGCACAAAACTAAGAGAAGCAATATTCATAAATTTATGTTCTGGATATGAAATACTAACCCTCCATACAGCTTCGATGAATATGAAGACAAAGCGCCATAGCCATCATCTCCCACCTTGTCAGGATAAAATCAGCCAGTCAAAATAGAAGATAAAAGTGAACCATTAAACCAGATTTTCACTTTCAATTTCAAGAAATAAAATAAAATAAATCAAGATATACTTGAAAGATAATTCACAAGCAGAGGCAACTACAGCAAAGGGAACGTGACACTCAACAAAACTTAAATAGAGGAACATTGCTAGATGAAATGAAATGTGGTTTCCTATCAAATAAAAACATAGCTATATCAAATGTGATAATAGACGATGATTATGGTAACATCTGTAACATAGCCAAAACATATTGATGGATCCACAATTTAATGATGACTTATCATAATTCAGTATACTGGCAAAAACTTGGTGGATGCTCCTTTACACCTGGATAACACTCCTTGGGTATTGAGCCTGGTTTTCTACACGTATATACTCACCTTAAAGGTTTGAAAAGTACATTAAAGCAATAACTGCTTCTAAAATAATACTATACCAAAACAAAGAAGCCTAATCAAAAGAGGAGGTCGGTGTGCAGGAGGGAAACTGTGGAAATATGTCAATATTGGCATGATTTGCACTAAGTTAAAAAAAGGCGGCTAATGATCAAACGAGAGGAGGAAAACAGAGAGTTTTATATTGTAATATTAAAGCAAGAAACCATTAGATTCTTCAAATTTCATCACTCATTTGGTTATCATGCACGCTGTTAGGTTACTAAGCACAGTAACCAAACCCCCTCGACCACAAAAGAAGAGATGAAATAGAAACTCCTGAGACCAACATGATAAGAATGAAACAGCAACAGAGAAAAGCTAACAGTAACATACCGACAAGGATCCATATCCATAGAGACTACTTGAGGAAAGTAAGCCCATCCCACTCCCAGTTTCAGCCCTCTGCTCATAACTCATTGGAGCAACTGGAGGTACACTGGGCAAAACTGAAGGCAGTGAAAGACCAGTGCCACCAGAGTAGAACGAATCAGCACCAGCAGATGGATTCCGACCAGCCTCCCTATCTTTCAAAATGTCATCTCGGAGTCTCAAAACAATCTGAATGAGTGCATCCCTCACACCACCAACTTCTCCAACCACCTAAATGCATAACATAGACGCCAATAAGAATAACCAAAGGCAACAAAAAATTTTGGGAAATAATAAAACGATATTAGAAAAAATATAGGAATTGGATGCAACAGACCTCAACAAGTTCATCATTGCTATCAGCACACTTGGGCTTTTGACCTTTTGAGATACGGATATCAGCTTTAGTTCTTTTCCGAATTTCGTTTATGATTGAACCACTTTTTCCAATAATACACCCAATAACTTTAGATGGAACAAGGAGCCGGATAGTAACAGTATCATCATCTTCATCATTTATCTTTTCTTGCAGCAGTAAAATAGCTTCAACTGCCATGGATTTCAGATCATCCAGCGACTGCAAGAGAATAGATGTCCAACATGGTCAAGACAAATGGAAATATCAGATGTGGAACATTACATTTTCCCAAGTTCTTCTTCATTCCATTGGGGGGTGTTAAGAGCAAAGTCACTGACAGAAGGAGACATTCAATGCCTCTGTATATACATGGTAGAATTTGAATTCACTGTGTGTATCCATGTTAACCATAGGTGGTTATTATAGATGAAAATTGTGGTACATATTAACATCATGACAATTGAGTTTACCCAAAGTTAACAGAACATGAATGCATTTTCACTTTCTCTAGAAACTTCATTACGATGGCATCCTTTCGACGATTATAAGAATTTAGATTTCCAGCTCAGCAGGTAAGAAATAAGTTATACCTGATAAACCATGTCTACCATGACAGAGCAAATATTGTTTGAAAGAGACATTCAACAGTTCCAAATGATGTTTTAAAATACAACAAATTTTATTTACAAGAAAATTCTACAAAGAAACATGCTGACTTCAGAACCCAGGATATCAAAGGAAGAATGTATGGGAATTAAAAAAAAAAAAAAAAAGAACTCATATAGTAACCGAATCTGAGTGACAGGTTCTCCAAGACTAAAGAAACATAGTAAGCAGAAAAATAAGTCGAGGCAAAAGAAGCTTTTTCCGTCCTGCTGGTGACTTTAGTGTAGTCGACAAAACCCATGATATTAATCTAGGAATGACTAAGGAAGAAACCACACCTCTGTTGAGTTAACAGTGATGACACACTCGTCACGATCCCTTGGTATCATCCACTTCAACCCGAGCACCGCTAGCTTGCCTGACACTTTTAATGGAGCTCCCCCCCTTGCCAATTACACGGCCAAATCACGTTAAAGGGACACAACACCTTTATAGTTAACTCCTCAGATCGAGA